TTTTTAGCTGGCACCAGTGGGCATCTCCCTATGTCCAGATGAGGGATGGCGGCACTTCTCTCCGGACACCGTGACTTGCCCGAAGAAAAATGCCGTCCGTTAACCGAGGTTTGAACCAGAGCTGGTGTGCTTCACAACCGACGCCTTAGTCCGCTCGGTCACTCCGTCCAACTAATTATTATTGTTGACGTGCAAAAAATATAATGCGTCTCGTATAAATAATTATAATAATGCGGCGAGTATAATATAATTATAATATAATAATTATAATTTTTTTGTTTTATCAATATTCGTTCGGAATACGTCTTGACGCGTGTTGGATACGTTTCTCACGTAACAATATATCGTCAGCAGGCGCTTTTCACGCGTTACAAAACACTCGACGGATTTATTTAACTCTCGACCTTGAATTATTGTTATTTTTTTAATTGTCCCGGGTTATTTTTAGGAGGTTAAATGCAAGCACGATATCAAATATTCATATTTACAGCGATAAAACGATGATAGCATATTACGTGCGAATTGAATAATAATTACTAATAAATAATAATATTATGATCATTACGAATAATTTATTATCATGATTCTGCGAGGATATAATATATTTTTTTATTATCGTGTACCTATATGCAAAATACACCACTTCGCGCTGTTATAGATTTCTATCGGAAATCAAATAAAACCGATGTTTAAGATTTTAACATTTTTAACACGCTCGCCGGTGCATAATAATAACGACTGGACATAATAGTAGCATTATAGTTATATTATTAATTAATATTTTATATACACTCTCTCGCGTAAAAATGTAGGTGAAAAAAAATACCAAACCATATAGTCGTTTATCTGGAAAAAATATCTCTAACAGTAAATACTGTTAATTAAAAAACCAACTAATCATAATAATTTTAATGAAGGTTTTAAATAGCGGACAAAGAATTTGTTTTTCACACTAACCGTAACTAATACGCCGTACCCATAGATACAATGCGTGAATAATTTTAAAGAAACAATGCAATATTCGAGGTTTTGTCTTAATTATTTAGTATAGGTACTAAACCAGCTCCGTGGTTGACGGTATTCTGAAAAATAATCGTTATTATGTTTTCGAATTGATTCCATTGAACAATATTTCAAGAAGGTTTTCCGGTGGACGATTACCTATTTTTGGTATTTTAATGGTCGTCAGTAAATTAAAATCATTTTGTTCGAAATATTATAATAGATAGGTACGCATATTTAGTATTAAAATAATTTAATAATGTCACTATTATCGTTTAAACGAGTGTTTTAAAAATAAACGTAGACTGTTCGAATGCGTAAATAAAAAAACCTTGTGCGTAAGTGAGCTCCCATATACAGGATGAATCATCATGCATGTTCACTCCAGTGTAATCCTTTAATAATGAATTTATTCAAATTCTGATTTTTTTAATATTGAAGTGTCTACCGTGGTATATATACAGATATACTCATACTTAAACAGCACAATATTTTTAAATTATTTGATTTTTTATACTGTTTACGGAGCCACCGATATAAACATAATTTTTCAAATAAGAATCAGCTATCTTTACTGTAAATTGTTAAGCAGATGATTTTCTTGTTGAAATTTTGACAAGTAAAAAAAAAAAATTTGAAATTCCAACGAGTAGTTTCTGAGTTATCCTGAGGAATAGGTAGTCCATATTATAATAATTATAGACGTATAAATGCAATAAACGTGCCCTTATTTACTATACATATTTGCTTATAAAATATTAGTGAGGATCGAGAGACGACGTAATGATATACCGGTCTGCACCCTTATGGCGTGTTTAATAAAAAAAATTTAAAAATTAAAATTTTCTTAAATACCTAAGGGTATTTCGGGGAAAGAGTGAAACAAAAGGAAAAGGGTTTTCCTCGAAATATTATGAAACGTCAACCACAGTGACGGTCTTATTGATAAATATTAATATGTGATGATGAGAAATAAAAAAATTTTAGAAATATAAATTTTTCACTTGGGGGTGGCAAACATTACACCTGACCCTTTCATAATACTTTATAAATAACTCGTAAATAATGACCGGATACATGCATGCTATTGACACCTTAATTATTTGCAGCTTTTATTTTTAAAACATCAATGTAGGGAGTGAAGAAGTTTAATATAGATACATCATTGAATGCCGGATTTAAAGATACGGGGCCTATATGATGATTTAAAAAATATACTTAGTAATTAATCTGATAACTTTTATATTTGAACATACATTTTAAATGCTATGTGAAACCAATATCTTAAGTACTACCTACCTATAATCTTAAATTCCTAATTGCACAAAATGTTTTCATTTCGATATATATAAGCGTTAAAATGTTCAAAATAATAATTAACTAAACAATTTACACTTTACAGCAAAAAATGTGTGGTGCAATAATTTGAAAAATATAGTTTGTATAATAGTTACAGTACATTCATTATTTAACAATAAGAAAATCCTAATATTATTTTCCTGAAGCCCCCCTCCCCTTTAGGCCTTAAGTACTTAAAAATATTTCACTCTTGCTTACATAATTATATTATAATAAATGCAATTAAAGGTAATTTTGTTATTAAAGTTTGTTATTACTTATTATTATTATTGTTTTATAATATAGGTACCTAATGGGTTTGCATGTATGATGAATATTTTATTTACTGTAAAAACTTAAACTTAATGCCTATGCATTTGAAGCAAATTTTTTCGTCTAGCACCTCCCTTTTTTCCATTTCTAGATCCACGACTGAAATAAACGCATTATAATTTATAGGTAAGTATAGAAAATATATTCATCAAAGACTGTCTTTGATAAGTGACGACAATATTGTATAGGGGCACTCCGGGGCATGGCAGAAACCTACGGGTGCCCCATTCGAAATTCTGCCAAAACACAAATACTCACGTGTAAACAAAAAACCCTACCATCACCACCTTACAACCTACTAACAGCTAATGGCCATAGAAAAAAAAAAAAAAAAATATTGTATACTGCGCTACCCATTGCCTATACAGGTACCAGCTAAATTAATAATTATTAAATAATAATATTATTAATATACACAAAGTCGCTTTATACGAAAACACTGCGATTATGATGTAATTTTCGAATAAAACGCGACGACGACGACGAGTCGTACAGTGGCTGTATCTCTATATTTTAAAATAGCATAAATACACAGCGGCAGAATTGATCGATCAATCCGACGATTTTATATACCTACTATCGATACTCCCTATTACGATTACAGGATCGTGCGTGCACATGTTACATACTATATATATAATATTATTCTTACGTGTGCGAGTTAGATCGTGTGTGGCTTTTAAACAATTATCAACTATCGTGTGGCTTTAGGGAATTTATACGCATAATTTTCGCTCGTACAGTCGTACTTATATATAGATATATTTATATATAATAAACTATATTATATGCGTATACAGTATGTCCCAAAAGTCCCGTATCACCCTTAATATCTCCATGTAAAATCACTATATTTAAACGTGGTTTTTTTTACAGTACTAAGTATGAAAATTCTGATTGAATGGCATAAAATTCATTTATTTTTTACATTAAATTCAAAAATTTTTAAAAAAAATTTTTACCCATTTAATAATTTTAAATTTTTAATATAGCCATTTTGTTGAGCATATTTTTTAAAACAGTTCAAAAAAAAAAAAATACTAAAATTAAATAAAAATTGACCAAGTTAGAGCAAGTTATGTTTTTGAATAATTGTAGTAAAAAAATAAATTATTGTTTCACATTTCAATAATGAAATATCTAATTTCAGCACACGACAATACTTTTGCATTCCTAATTTATTTTTTACTACAATTATTCAAAAACATAACTTGCTCTAACTTGGTAAATTTTTATTTAATTTTAGTATTTTTTTTTTTTTTGAACTGTTTTAAAAAATATGCTCAACAAAATGGCTATATTAAAAATTTTAAATTCTTAAATGCGTAAAAAATTTTTTTGAAAATTTTTGAATTTAAAGAAAAAAATAAATGAATTTTATGCCATTCAATCAGAATTTTCATACTTAGTACTGTAAAAAAAACCGCGTTTAAATATAGTGATTTTACATGGAGATATTAAGGGTGATACGGGACTTTTGGGACACACTGTATACTATGTATGTATGTATGTATGTGTTTACGTGGTTATTACTGTTTTTTGTTTGCTGTGCCAAAGTCCGTTTGAGAAAGTAAATAATATCATTATATACATTATATTATTTTATGGTGTATATAGAATGACGACCGACCACGCAGAAAGCGTGTAAAGAAAGATTTAAAAACAAAATTGTTTTGATTTTATAAATACGTTAATAATTACATATTTATAATTTATATGCGTTGAAAACTCATTCTTTGAACTTTTTATTTTTTCGAAAAATTTCGTTACCTAGGAAATAACTGAATATTAAGAAAAATGTAAAAAGATGATGGTACTTATATAATTTAATAATCGTGTTGTAGGTGCGACTATGGCGCATGTCCAATCAAGATTTTCGAGAAGAATAATTCGATACGTAGTTTAAGTTACGTAGGTATACCTATATGTGTCCAATAAAGTCAAAGTCCTATACGCATAGGCGCAAATTGTGTTGAGATTTGGGGGGGGGGCTGAAGAATATTTTTTCATATAATCCTTTGTAGTGTTTAATCTTCAGGTTTTTTTGGGGGCCTATACGCATCGGTATGTTTCGTTAGTAGATCTCATATTATACAACTTATTCACTGTTCGATATTGATCCGATACGCATCGATATAAACTCCAATTTCTTCCTTGAAAATCTTGATTGTACCCTAATTACTTCGCTCGCATTTTTGTTTTTGAGAGCAAATCACAATAATTCGTGCACGTTATACGAGTATGCGGCTTGTCAGCGAAGTTAATAATACTGTATAACCATTAGGGTTGCTCTAAAATATAGTAAGGTTTTACGCAAATGAACGTACCTTGGTGTCCGGCTAGCTGTACCCACGGATACCTCTGTTTTTTGTAAGTTTGAAAGAACGGCGTCCACTGAACAATGTTTCTCAATTTTCGCCATCCGGAATGCTAAACAGAAAGAATTATAGAATTATTAAAAGTATACTTCATGAATTAAATATAATTGTGTATGCATATTGCGCACGTAGGGCCAAAGTATATCTGTATTAGTATAGGAAGGGATATAATTACGTACGTACATACTGAAAAGTCACCAGTCATAAATCATATTTTAATTTTTGATGAAACCAAGTACTTTATTTCCCACGTATAACCGATTGTTTAATTTACGGGATCATATTATCATACAGGTAAAAATGTTCAATAACCGTAGAGGTCGAAGCTATAATAATTCATAAGCACACTTTATTGTATTATATAGATAGTTTTAAATTTAAAACGACAGTTGTGGCTTTTCCGAGACGTTCAAAAACATTCAAGCCCCCTTAGTATTCATAACTCAACTCAATCGGTGTTATACTAAACGAACCTATACTTTGGTTCGAAGGTAAACGAAAACCATAGACATAATGTAAATATTATGTCTATGGCAAAAACCAACTGATTGATAATGTTGGGTACGTTGACATTTTATAAGTGTCTAAATTTCACATCAGCAAATACGTTTAGCTCTGATCATCATCATAACGATTAATTACATGTGTAGCTATATTTACATTATTCCACCGCGTATAGGTTAGACCGAGTTCAAAAAGAATCAAAATAGCAGTTAAAAAAAAATCACATTTTATCACCTGTGTGCGCTTCGAAATGTCTGAAACAATATGTTTTATAAGTTCGTGCATAATAATATAATCACGATAATGCGTTTATATATATAATATACCACCTATTTAAAGTGACGTTATGCACTAGAAATGTTAATTTTGAGATTATTTTAGGCTACTTTGCATATGAATTTTTATTACCATAACAAACAATATTGTACACGCAACTACCAAAAACACAATATTTTGGTAGATTGTGTGTATTCTAATATTATAAAACGTACATATTATCGTAATAACAGGTAAGTGTATAACTTAAATTCGTCGGTGAACGCAACGACTGAATTATAGTCCGCGTCGTAAATAGTCATCGTTACAGTTATTGTGGCAGGGAAGGCGTTTGAAAAAAATTCTCTCTAGTTGATAATGTCATTAGTGGACGTCCATTATGTTATTATTATTATAACACAACACAGCCCACAACAATATACCGGGTGATCCATTTAACGTGAGACACTCATTATTTAAAAAACTATTAACGTTTTAGAAAATAATCTCTAGTCGTTATAAAACCACATTTTTCTAAAGAAAATGTTGATTGTTATCGTTTCATAAATGACGTCTGACATATTTAATGGCAAAATACATTTTTAATTAGATACCTATTTAGAAGTAGAATATTTTTTGGAGGTTTTCCAATATGTTGAAATACAATTTTGGATGAGTGGCCTATACTCTATGAGATTAAAGTTTAGATGAGCGTAGTGGAGTAGTAAACAGGGGTTGGTTCACTCCACTCATCAAAACTTTAAATAGGTACTTATAATTAATATAATAAACTATTACTTGGCCAAAATTTGATTTTTATTGATCGAAATATTCCGAATAATATTCTGCTTCGGAATACAAAATTAATAATGTATTTATGTGGCAATGTTGTCGTTCAAAATAGTAAAATTAATATAATCTTTTTCCAATAATGTATTGTTTTGTAAAGACTTAAAATTATGTACAAGAAATATTTTCAAAAACCAAATGTTTTCTGAAATATTGAGTTCAATGGATCACCTCATACCTATATAATATATTATATATGAACGAAATTTCTCAACATGCCCCATTAATACATTACAGTAGTAAATATGCACACTAACACACTTATGCAGCACTTCGTTCTATGAAATAGAATATTGAAAAAACGAAACCGAAAACCTGAGAACGGTTCGGGACAATAAGTCCAGTGCGCGTGCGAAAAGAACGGTTCGGTAATTAAAAACTGGTAACTGGTTTCGAAACCGAAATATAAATTAATTTCGGCCGACTTGTATTTCCTGCGGAACTACCTACCTACTATAATACATTAATACCTACCTATATACTATATAGTATTACGCCACTAAAATATTAACTGGTATATTAATGTACACGTCATATTATACTATGGTACGCTATAATATTATTATTAGGTACACTGCCGAATCGTAGCCCGCAAACGGTAAACGTTTTAAAAAAATCGATGAGAACGATTAACTCTTTAGCACGAAATTACTGGCGGGTAGCCGTCGATTAATATATTATAAACATATCAACGAACCGATTATTAATATTATTATTATTTTAATTCGCATCAGATTTCCGCGTCCAATAAATTCGGCTTTGGCTCCAATATATTAGAATAATAATATTACGAAACCTTACGAAACTGTCGACCATCTGAGATCTCTCACTCTTTCCTCTCTCTCACTCTCTCTCTCTCTCTCTCTCTCTCTCTCTCTTTCTCTCTCTCTCTCTCTCTCTCTCTCTCTCTCTCTATCTCTCTCTTTTATTATCTTTCCCTCTCACTCACACACGCACACATGTGCTGCGTCGTGTATCGGATTCGTTATCGCATGGATATTGGAAAAAACCTATTAATTTTTTTTTCGTCCGCTTACATACGTAGTTTGACCCGGCTTTGAGAATTACGTGTGCGTGTGCAAAACCGAATCGTCCGAAGGTTTCCACGAAACATTTTTACGAAATCGTATACTCGTATACATGAGGCAGACGACTATTCTAGCGTTTGCATGTTTGTTTTTCCAATCGTAAAAAAAGGCCAGCTAAACAATGCCAAATCTGTTAATTTATGTTGCATAGTTTTGCATAAATATTAAGGTATTTTTGAGACATAGGTACTAGGATTATTTTGAGGCATGTTTTTTTTTTTTTTAAATTTAAATAACGCTTATAAAGTCGACAGTGTTAGTTATACTTTTACCATTTAGTTATATTAGAAACACGTAAAAAAATATTGCCTCTGCGATTAAGTCGTACCAACGAAAAGTATTGTCCGTGAATTATGTAACGTAGTTCTTATTTTAAACGCTATTTATTTAATTTATTTTTAATACATTTTAAAAATCAAGCAGCAAGAAAATAATTTTTAGTGCTTATTTTTAGATCATATTTTATGGTGTTTAAAATCATAAGTGCTTGCATATTTTGTTATTATTTAGGGTTATGATATGATGGGCTCTGCACTAGTAATTTATTTATTCATTTATTCATTTATTTTACAATACTGGACGAACCCTTTAATACATGCATATATAATAGTCATAATTTTCTTTATAGCAATGATATATATACTGGGTGATTCTTTTATCAAACAACACTCATTATTTCAAAAAGTGTAAATTTTTTTGAAGATATTTTTTTACATAGTTTCAAGTCGCTTATAAAACAACGTTTTTATTAAAAAATTATTTTTTTAACTATTTTTTATCCTTATAATTTTTTAAGTTTTTTACTTTTTTGAATGACAACATAGGGTTTTAATTTTATATTCTAAAGTAGAATATTTTTATTAGTATTTTGATACATGAAAATTGAATTTGGGGCGAGTAGTTTATGAGTTATAAGTATTTAAAGTTTAGACGAGCGGTGAAGTGGACAAACATTTCGCGGGGTAACCCCGAACCACTCCACTCCGCTCGTCTAAACTTTAAATACTTATAACTCATAAACTACTCGCCCCAAATTCAATTTTCATGTATCAAAATACTTATAAAAATATTCTACTTTAGAATATAAAATTAAAACCCTATGTTGTCATTCAAAAAAGTAAAAAACTTAAAAAATTATAAGGATAAAAAATAATTAAAAATATAATTTTTTAATAAAAACGTTATTTTATAAGCGACTTGAAACTATGTAAAAAAATATCTTCAAAATAATTTACACTTTTTGAAATAATGAGTGTTGTTTGATAAAAGAATCACCCGGTATATATATTATATTATTATAGTCACATTGTCATGATGATTTGTATTTTCGATCGAAAAACATAACGCAAGCGGCGGTTTCAACGATTGCTCGTTCAAATCGTCAAATCGTCAAATCCTCCAGGCATATACCACCTCTACACGCCTTATCAAGCCTAAGCTACAATACAGCGACGTACCGTTTGAATGCTCTTCAATGAATAAAATTGACTTTCAAAATGTTCTATACATAGGTACATACCTAAATGGATGACAATGATTGGTGTGCAACATCTATACGGAACGATAACAACTGTTATCAACAAATTAAACAAATTTACAGGGTGATTCACCATGCATCAGCGTCCCCTTTTATTTCTTTCTTTTAATAATTAATTTATTCAAAATGGAATTTTTGGAATTTTTATGCATACATATTACAGCTATATTTTAAATTACTTAAATTTTATGTAACATATCATCAGGAATGTTCTATGACGATATAAACTTCTTTTTTTTTGCAGTGAATTGTCTTGTGAATAGTTTTTTGAGTTATTAAAATATTAATATAGGTACCTATAGACAGTAGACACCTAGTATACTTTTATATCATTAAATCTCCAAAATTGTATTCAAACCCATTATCATGAACTGATGGACAATATTGTTCTTTGGACAAAATATTTAATAACTCGGAAATTACTCGTTTGAATTTCAATTTAGGTACATCAAACAATTTAACAATTAAATAATTTACAGTAAAAAAAAGTGATTCCATTTGAAAAAAAAAATAGTAAGTTTGTATCGCTACTGGGCACTCCTTAAATGCAGTAAAAAAAATCTTCACACGTTGAAAATACGGTATTTTAGTATAATATATTATGTACTTTAAAGTTCGAAAACCCAGAATTTGAACACATGCATTATCAAAGTAAAAGTGTGAGGGTGTGGGGGGAGTCGATAATACTCGGAGAATCACTCTGTATATTATTATAAAACGAGTATAATAATATGTAACGCGCGCGAAAACGTTTTAAAAGTCAAGTCGTCGTCGCGCGCGTTTCGATTCCTTCGCGGCAACGGAACGACGGAAAAAAAA